GGGAAATGCTCCACCTTGTGGTGGATATCTTTCATATTGCCAGTTTCCCCAGTAATGCCTCTTTTTCAGGCCAGTTCTGTTCCTTCAAGCTATCTAGCTTGTAAAGTTGCTTTTAACAAGCAATTCATTCCTATTGTTTATTCTAATGTAGCTCCCTGCCCTTACTTGTTGCACTATTCTAAAAAGTAACTTGTGTTATTCATTGGACCTTATCCCACGGGGCCAAAAGCAGCAATAGCGCTATAGTGTTCCGTGTGATTACACGACGTTGCTCAGAATCCGCTAAGAATCAGGTGCTATAGCGCTATAGTTTTCCGTGTGATTACACGACGTCGTCAGAATCCGCTAAGAATCAGATGCTATAGCGCTATAGTTTTCCGTGTGATTACACGACGTCGCTCAGAATCCAGCAAGAAACCGCTCGGAATGCAGCATCATTCGCATTCTTTTGAATGTCGGTTTCAGCGGGCATTGCAATAGCGCGAGCTTATCCATAGCGCTATTATAGCACTAGCGCCATATTTATACTAGCGCTATAGTACTGCAATGATGCTCATATCGCTTTCTTGCCACTTTTGAGAGCAGCGTGGGATAAGGTCCATTGTGTCTTTCTTTTTGTTGTTATTTTTCACTGCTTTAAGAAAAACTTGTTTAGGATCAACAAGAGAATGCCATACAGCCTGAAAGAAATTATTTCAAGAAGTCTCTTAAAATGCTCTAATAACTAAAAAATATTATTGATTATACCAGTGGAGTGACTTCATTTCTACTCCTGACTTTGCTTTTGAAATGTTAACTTTCTTATACCCTCATTGCAGAAGGGGGAAAAAATAAACAAAATACAATAGGTTGTTACAGATTCCTTTTCACTTGTTACTTCTAATCTGTGATCTAACACTGCACAGCATCTATTAGACTAGATTAGCACAATGCTGCAGCACATGGGATTTTTCTCTGCTGTTTTTAGCAACGTAAGGGCTGGGGACAAATTTATCAGTGATGTGCAGCTAAACTGTGATTGTTCTGTATTGCCCCTATTTGGGGGTGGCCAATAAATCCACCATCACAGGGGCAGTGTATTATTTATTTATTTATTTATTTATTCGTTTATTTATACCCCGCCCCTCTGCATAGGAATCCACTTGATTTTACTGCCACCTTTGCCATTGCTGCTCTGAGTTGTCCAGGAGCTCTGCCAGTGCCAAACCTCTGATGGGATGTGGTTGACCTCCAGAAGAGTTCCTGTTTGACTTGGAGAAGCTATGGGAGTAGCGATAGTAAAATTCATCATGAATTCACTGCCCCTATAGCAGCTGGTCCCTTGACCATTCCTGATACTGCCACTCTTATTGGCTTTTTGCATAAGCATTTGTTGTTTCGGCTTTCTTTTCTAATGCAATCAGGCTATCAAATTCTGGTTATGACTTATAAAGCCATATATGGTTCAGATCCAGACTATCTGGCAGACCATATCTCCCTATATGAGCCAGTACAGGCTGTGAAATGAAATCATCAGGAGAGGCCCTTCTCTGAGTCCCACCACCATGACAAGTAGGGTTGCTGGGGACATGAGAGAGGGCCTTCTTGGTGGATGCTCCTGGAGTCTGGAACTCCTTTCCCAGAAAGGCCAGAATGAATCCCTCCTTGTCCTTCAGTCAGCAGGTTAAATCCTTTTTATTCCAAAAGGCTTTTAAAACAGAAAGTTTTTAAAGATGGGGCTAGGGATACTGTAGTGTTTTAAACTGAATTGTTTTTAAAATAGCTTTTTATCTTTTTATAATTGCATTTTATTCTTTCAATTTGAGGTTTGCATTGTTTCAGTGCTGAGAATAGTTTCATTCTATTTCGATATTCACTTTTTGTGTGGTTTTTAATAGTATTGTTGTTTTTAATTGTAAGCTGCTTTGGGTTGCAATTCTGGGGGGAAAGCAGGATACACATAAATAGAAGAAGGGGGGAGGAGAAGGAAGAGAGGAAGGAAGAAACAGTATGAGGAGTTTATCACACGGGGGAATTTGGGAGTTTAAACAATGATTAACCCATGAAAATTGTGCAACTGACATTAAAATGAGCTTAAAACGACATTAACGCAAATGCCATTGTCCTGTGAAGAACCAGGGAATAACCAGGCAAGAAACAGCAAAAAGTCATTCATGGAAAAAATTTGTGAATGAGTTACTGTTGTTTCTTGCCTGGTTCTTCACGGGGAAATGGCACTTTAATCACATTTCGTCTCAACATCATGTGAAAACTATTTGCGCAATTGCGCACAAGTGGGGATTAATAATGGATTTTGCATAGGGATAACAGCGCTTTGTGTGCTGACATCATGTGAAAACCATTCGCATAATTGCAGGTTAATTACGGGTTAATCACCATTTATACTTCCAATCCCCCCCCCCCAAATATGATAAACTCCTAATGCCATTTATCAGTATAGGATTGCAAGAATTGTTAATATAGGTTAGAGTAAACAAGGGAAATCTGAGGTGGTCACTCTGTCTCTCAGGCTCCCCTGGCTCTGCAAACACAAACTGAGTTTGCAATTTACAACAGTATGAATGTGGTAAAATGTGCAGGTAACAAAAGCGAACAAGGCTGTTGAGATATTTACAAGCTTTAAAAGAAAGGACTACAAGTGTTTTTTACTAGACCCAGGAAAAGGTGAGAATCCATTATTGGTATTTATGGAGCAGAGCATCTTGTATTTCATGCATTTTTTAACATTTGTATTTGACCCTCTAACATTTGTATTATATTATAGTACTACTGCATGGTTTTAGAGCAGCATATGTACGTAGGAAATTGCTTTTCTAGGAGCATCCTTTTAGGAACTTTTAATACATTTCACTTTCTGCTCCTGCCTTGAAATAGTTTCGAATTTTGGTCTTTCAACTATAACCGTACTGTGACCATACCATTCAGCCGAAGTCTTCCAAGGTACGGTAGCTCCTGTTAAAATGCCCAAACTCTTAGGGAGCAGTTAAACAATGCATTCCTCAACCTAGTACACCCTAGATGTGGGAGACTACAATCCCCATCATCCATGCTGATTGGAGATTATGGTAGATGCAGATGACATTTGGAGGATGTGAGACTGAAGAACTCTGACTCAGAAGATAAATGCATTATCTCAATTTCTCTGGATAATTTACCAACTGCAGTTCCTAGTTAGCCTATATCAGCCCATATTGCTGAGTTGGGTAGCTATTACATAACATAAACTGAAGAATTGTTGTTTTACATTTCAAAAAGTAAGCACAAGTAACTTCAAAAGCAATATATTTGCCTAGTAGAAAGACGTGTTGAGTAACCCACTCCTAATATAAAATTCCGAGAAGGTCAGTTCTGCACAGCAGAGTTTCATAAATTGTTACAGATGTGTTGTTTCACTTTGAAATTCTGAAGCAAATAGCTTGCTTAAGAAGTGTGGGAAGAACAGAGAATCAAACAAATTAAATTACTCGCAGTACAAAAGACACCGCAAAGAATGTCAGATGGTGCAAAATTAACTTCTTATGGAACAATCCAGAGATGCACAGCACTAGAAACTAGTGAGAATGGCTACATAGATTGTGGTGATGGCATAAAAGATTGTGACGATAATAACTGAAGTGTCATTTAGTTCACTGGGTGAATTAAGCATATCTTAAAAATCTCCCCAGCTGCAATCAAAGGAGCTCAAAAGTGCTTGTTTTGGGATGGGATGTATAATATATACTATTGCAGCAGACAAATATGCCAATGAAATTAGCAGAAAGATCAGTTTTGCATGGAACAAGCTATAATTACTAAAGATGCATTCAATTAGTGTTAGGAATGAGTCTCATTGATTTTAATTTATCTTTTCTATGTATGGACAAGTCTGGATCTAACTCGTTATTGCTATTATTGTGTACCTCCAAGTCATTTTTAATTTATGGCAACCCTAAGTCGACCCTATCATAGGGTTATCTTGGCAAGTTTCTTTGAAGGGGGTTTGCCATTGCCATCCTCTGAGAGTGTGACTTATCCATTGACCTATGCCCATTTTCCTATCTGATGGGCTATAAATCTAAATAACACCTGAGATTATGACTGTTTTTGCAACACCAAGGGGTACAGAGAAATCATGAACACCTCATTATTCAGTGTGTTTCCCCCCCTTCTTTTTATTTTGTTGCTTCAGTTTTTGATTGTACCGTAGGTTGTGTGAACAGGTCTGAGACTGAAGTGAGTTAAGGGGGCTATTATCTGAGGAGAATGAACCATGCAAATAGGTGTTTGGGTGTTGTTGAATCAAGACATAGATGTTATCAGTTTTCTGCCACTTGTAGCCAACAGAAATATCACGGCCCAATTAATATGGATGCATCCAATATGTTTGCATCTGAGATGATTAATCATCTGCTAGAGTGACAGAGGACAGCTTGCATCCATTAGTTTGTTCCTCTCTTAGATCACACATACCTGGCCCAGAGGGATGGAAAGGAGAAAAACTCAATATCACTGAATTTCAAGCTTCCTGAACTTCTGTGATGAGAGGATCCCCCTCTGGTGGTCAGGAAGCCTGAAAAATAAATTATCTGGCATTCTGTTAGTGACTTAAGCATTAGTGCAGCTTACATGTGCATACATCCCTTTTCAGAGACCTATTCCCTTGTCTGCACTCCATCCAAAACCCTCCTGCACCCAGCAGCTGTTAAGCCACAGTAGGGCTGCTGCTGCTTCTCCTTTTTACCAGGAAGGGAGAAATTCAGACATGAAGATCTGGGTACTTTGTACCTCTCCAAACTGCAAATCCCAGACTATTTAGTATAGAGCTATGGTGATTAAAGTGGTAGCAAGCCACTGTAAATCTGTAGTGTTGTTCAGTGCTACTCAAAGTGGTGGTTTGTGGACCAGCATCAGTCTCCAAGCCAAGGTGGCTGTTCTTGGAGAGCTTTCAGAAGGGAAAGAAACAATTGTGGTCAATGGGCCCAAATATTGTATCAGTCCATGGTGGGGAAAATTGCTGGTCAGCCAGTGTAGTGTTGTGGTTTGTGTGTTAGACTGTGACCCTAGAGACCAGGGTTCAATTCCCAGTTCATCCATGGAAACCCACTGGGTGACCTTGCACAAGTCACACTGTCTCAACCTCAGAGGATGGCAATGGCATATCCCCTCTAAAGAAACTCAGCCATGGAAACCCCCTGGGTGACCTTGGGCTTTCAGCTTTCAGCCCCAGAAGAAGGCAAACACAACCCCCCCCCCCGAACAAAACCTGCCAAGAAAATTCCATTGCCATAGGTTGGAAACAACTTGAAGGCACACAACAACACATCAGATTACTTAAGTAGCCCTGAAGTAGATACATCAATGGTTCAACTGAAAGCTGTGGTGGTGATGGTAGTGGTTTTGCCTTCAAGTCCTTTATGACTTTAGGCGACCCTCTGGGGCTGAAAGAATGTGACTTGCACAAGGTCACCCAGTGGGTTTCCATGGCTGAGTAGGGATTCAAACCCTGGTCTCCAGAGTTGTAGTCCAATGCTCAAACCATTAAAACCATTCTGGCTTGAAAGCTGTCCCATTGACTTGATAGTTGAGATTGCAGTTATTGTTCTTACCACTAGAGGTCAGAAGACAACAGAACGACAGGAAAATTATGGGCAAAGAAGAAATGGAAGAAATCCTGTTTGGAATTTCAGCTTTCCAACTTATGTTCTCAATGAACAAGACAGCATGTTTTAATTGTTTAAAAATAATATTACATCTCCTTTGCTTAGCAACAAAGAAAGACATTTTCTAAACAATGCATATTATATGCCAGCTTTTTTTTTGATGCACTTCCTCATGCTCGCAAAAAGTCCTCTTGTCAGAAGAACAAACCTGATAACATGTTAGTTATAAGTTTGTCAAAATGCAAAACACCAAACTGCACCCATATAAAATATGGAAAAGCCAGCTGATTTGGATCTTCGCTGCATTTTCTCTCTCACTATGACGCATTATCAGCTTAAAGAGAGAAGCAGGAACATGAAATGAACCAGACCCTCCATCTTCTGCTTTGCAAACCCAAGAAGTGGTGGCAAGGGGCAGGATATTCTATTCGCTTCCAGATCACCATGTACTGCAGCTTTCTTTTCAGTTTAGGAATATCTAGCCTGTTCTCTATAAAATACCTTAACAAAATAAGCTATTATCTGTATTCTTTCTCTTTCTCACAATCAAGATTTTAAGGAAATAATCTAACCTGGCAATCGAAAGACCATAATCACAGGGCAGGCTGCAATGTCTACTCCTTCCACACACATTGCCAAAGTCCTTTTCCTAGATGTCAAGCTTTCAACAACGATCATGTAAAATTTTGTATATCTCAACCTTGGCTATGATGACCGGGATGATGGGTATTATAGTCCAACATATCTAGGGAGTACCAGATTGCAGAAGGCTAATAATAATAATAATAATAATAATAATAATAATAATAATAATAATAATAATAATTTTATTTATATTTCCTGCCTCTCCCTGCAGTGGTTTCGCTATTGGGCTAGGACTCTGGGAAACCAGGGTTCAGATCCCTGTTTGGCCATTGAAACTCACTGGGTGACATTGAGCAAGTCACATTCTCTCCACTTTAGAGGAGGGCATTGGCATATTTCCTCTAAAGAAATCTTGCCAAGAAAACCCATGAAAGGCTCACCGTAGGGTCACTATAAGTCAGAAGTGACTTGAAGGCACACAATAAGGGCAATCTCTATGTTTCAGTGAGCTCAACAGAATTTTGCTGCCAAGCAAATGAGGTTCAGTTTGAAATTCATCTCTCAAGAATCTTGTATATATCGAGAATCTATATTCTTGCCAACCTTGGCCATCATAGCTGGGAGATGGGTACTGTATTCCACCATATCCAGGGAGTACTATATTAGAGAAGGCTGCCAATGAAAATTGAAGGTAGGCAAGTATTAGTTAGTTACATTTATATCTTGCCTTTACTGAAATGAAAAGTATCATATATGACTTTACTTCTCCCCACTTTATTCTTGCAACAATCCAATAAGTTAGTCAGGGTGAGAGAAGAAGTGTTTGGTCCAATGAGTTTCATAGTCTAACACTACAATATAAGTACACCAATTAAGTTGTGAGGGAAGTGGGTGCAGTCTTTCCAGCTTTTTTGGATGCACAAGAAGCAGACAAGGACATCTGGTTGTGTGATCCTACATTGAGGTGACCCTTGTTTACAACTTGATCAAAGGGTGGATTAAAGTTAGGCCTGGCACTTACACATTTCCACAAAAAGCAGTGTATCCCCCACCCCACCCAAAACAGAGCTCATAAGTTTGCACAAAATATTCACATGCTGCTTTATACGTAGAGATGTAAATTTAGAAAGCGTTACTGTAATTCAAAGAGAAATACAATAGCTGGTGCCCAGTTAATGGCTCATGCATGGGCAAATTCCCTGGTATATTCAGCTGGATATTTTTTGTCTGATGTGTCCATATTCAGTTGAAGGTTGTGGAAGTAAGAGTTATGCATGTAGTGTCCTTCTGCATGTTGTGCATGGCACATGGAGATATGCACTGTGTATTGAAATCATGGATTTCACATATTCTTGCACATTATATTTCACAGTGTTGGATTTCACTAGTGTTCAATCATCACATATGATTATGAGTGTGACGTTATACTCCATCTCCTTGATGTCAGATCTTAGTTAGCATCTCTCTCCATACTGGGAAGACTAAGGTGACCTGTGTATCTGCTGCTCAGCCTCCTCTCCAGACTGATGGACCACTGGTGATGAGTACCTCTGAGGTTGTTTTTATTGCTCTCTTTATACCAGATTTAGACCTTCAAATAGACACAAACAGAGACTTCATAGAATCATAGAGACCACAAGGGCCATCCAGTCCAACCCCCTGCCATGCATGAACTCTCAATCAAAGCATCCCCAACAGATGGCCATCCAGCCTCTGTTTAAAGACCTCCAAAGAAGGAGACTCTATCACTTTGACTGTCGAATAGCTGTTACATTGAGGAAGTTCTTTCTAATGTTGAGGTGGAATCTCTTCCTGTAGCTTGTATCCATTGTTCCATGTCCTATTCTCTGGAGCAGTAGAAAACAAGCTTGTTCCATATGACACCCCTTCAAATACTTAAACACGGCTATTGTATCACCTCTTAGCCTTCTCTTCTCCATGCTAAACATACCCAGCTCCCTAAGTCTCTCCTCAAAAGGCATGGCTTCCAGACCCTTCACCATTTTGGTAGCCCTCCTCTGAACATGCTCTATCTCTTTGTGAAGCAGACTGCATGGCCAACCTAGGGTGCATCGACTCTACCCAGTTATAGCAGTTTGATATCACTTTAACTGCTATAACTTCGCCCTATGGAATCCTGGGACATGATGATTTTTGAGGTTTCCACTAGTCATGTTGACTGGGGTATTCTGGGATTTGTTTTTAAAAACTTTTCCAAGCTTTATTATGTTCTGAGATAAATTTGTCTCCTTGAGAGAACATAACGTAAAAAGCTATTCATAAAATTATAATATAAAATTATAAAATCCAACAGGAATAAAAAAAAAATGAAATGCTGTCTGACTTCATTTAAGAAAAGTGACTAACACAGGGAAATCCTGAAGTGTGAGATTTATTGATTTATTTAACATTAATCTCACATTTTAGGATTTTTCTGTATGAGTAGCCTTTCTTCTTGAAACTGAACAGCATTTTGTCTTGATTCTTGTTGAATTTCTATGTAATTTTAATCACTGATACTATAAAGAACCATTACTCTACTATAAAGAATTAAGGCCATGAATTACATCTTCAACCACCACTACAACCCAACAGCATAATCATGTGTTTAGAGGACATAACGCATGGGTCACATACTTCAGTATGTCACCTCAAAGCCATTTGGCAGATAGGAAGAAAGATTTCTGAAAACCACAATGGATTTTTTATATTATTTTCGGCAACATAATGTTTGCAGCTGAGTATTAAACTTGGAGGCATTACTCATCACTGAATGAAAGCTTATCTGGCACATGGAATTAGCATGACATATAACCACAACTGTGGAAGAATTAAAAATTAAGCTGCACCACAGAATATAATATTTATGCCTATGCTGACAAACATAGGAGTTTATCACACAGGGATTTAAAAGGTGGGGGAAACCCACAAAAGCGGGCAGAATTTCACACACATTGCTGTTAAAATGGGGTTAACCCGAACGGAAAGTAGTCAGAAACTGCTTCTTTTTACTTTTGGGATTTTCCAAAAGTAAAAAGAAGCAGTTTATGACTACTTTCCATTCAGGTCAACCCCATTTTAACAGCAACGTCGTCTGAAAATCTGCCCGCTTTTGCAGGTTTTTTTCAATTTAAAACCCCGTTTCTGCACGGGATTTCCCCTGTGTGATAAACTCCATAGACATAGGTGGTATGTCTACCTCAAGCACATACATCCCAACCTTAATTTGCCCTATTTTCCATATTTTCAATATAAAAATGTCAGGAAGAGCCAGACATTATTGTCTAAACCAGGGGTAGGCAACCTTTCCCTTTTAAGGGCCAAGGGACTTCAGCTCCCAGAAGCCTCAACCATGTTGGCCAATAGCTCCTGGGATTCTGGGAGCTGAAGTCCCTCGGCCCTTAAAGGGGAAAGGTTGCCTACCCCTGGTCTAAACCAATGGTTCCTAATCTGTGGTCTGCAGACCCCTAGGAGGCCACAATATCTTGGAGGGGAGTCCATGAAGGCTTGAAGGCTGCTCAACTCAACTTCTACCTGCAGCAGATCAGCCACATGGCAAGAGTCAAGGCAAAGCCAAGGTCACTGCTGTCATCCTTTCCTCAGCTAGCAAGGCCCCACATTTGCACCCCAGGTCTAACTCTGGCAGCAACGGCACGCTCCATTTCTCTGGCTCTCATGTGGCAGGATAACCACAGCGAGCCCAAGCTGGTGGAGGCAACAGCATCCCATAGTGTCTGACAGCTTTATCGCTGCTTTCAGAGCTAGAGAAGGAGTCAGAACAGGATTGTGAGCATGGGCCTCACTGGCCAAGGGGATGGTGGCACTGGCTGCAGAAGCAGCAATGGCTG